GTTTTGCAAAATTTGTGTTTTGAGATAGTTTTGTTTAATCGAAATTATAATTTGAGATTAGTTATTATATTTTTAAAATCTGGGTTTTGATATTCAAGCAAGTTCTTCTCGTTTTTTGTCTTATAGTAAATTAAAAATTTTAGTGTTTCTGATACATTGATGAATATATATGTTCACATGGAGTATAAATAATAATAGTTGTTTTCTTTGTTGGGTTTTGGTTGTGTTATGAATATATGTTTTCGTTGACATGGATTTCAAAAATCTTATGTATATCTATAGTATTTTGAGAATCTTGGTGTATGAGTAAAATTAAAGAGATTCCATCTCCCAATAACATTAGATTTTAATAGAATTGAAGAATCAATGAAACATAAACTTTTTGAATAACAAAGGATTTTAAAATGAATGTAAGAATCCATCAACAAATAACAATGGATTTTATTAAGAATTAAAGAATCCATCAACCAATAACAATGGAATCTACAAATTCTCAAAATCTTTAAAAATCCATCTACCAATAACCTCCTCCCCCTTGATTATTGTTTTGTCTAACTATTTTTGAACCACCTCCTTTCAATTTTCCTTAAACGATTGAGTTAGCAAGTGTTTGATTTCAAATTGAATGTTTGAGATAAATGAAAATATTGATGGTTTGTATGTTGTGTGCAAACAAATAAAATTTGTTTATATGTTTATTCAATAAGAAAATCATTTGAACGCTTCTCTTACAATGTTTTCATTGCCGTTATATCTTCCTCCCAAAACATCATCAATAGGAAAATCTTTTGAATTCTTATTTTACAACTTTTAGTATTTCTTAGTTTCTAACTCCTACATTTGATTATCAATCTCTTAGTTTTTTTTTACCACTATATTTTTTTTAATATTATATGACTTATAAGAATATTGGACTAACATTATTAATTTTTGCATGAAGTAGTGAACTAAAATATGATTCATTTTTTTTGTGTGAAGTATTGGGTCAAACGTAATTTAGAGTGTTTGTATTCGTAAGTATTTATATGTGATTCAATAAGTTTCCGGATCTGAAAGTATTTGTAATTGTATCTGTTTTCGTAAAAAAGAAATGACTCCCATTTATTATATTTTCATGAATTTGTAAAGGTATTGGG